CTTGAAAATAAATATCAAATGGAATTGTGCATTTCTTTTCATCTTATTTAATGTCTATGTTTACTATAATAAATTAAATTGCTAAAATATCCTTATTATAATAAGCTTATAAGCTGAAACCAAAAGTGAAGAATTGCTTTATCAATATGTGCTACTTTATCTATTAAACTAGCAATTATTTCGAGGACGCCCTCAGGAAAAACATGAAACCGGAAATGACGTGGTTGCTAAGCGACAAGCTCATGCATAATCATGAATATACAGTGACACCTGTTCTAATTAGACTAACAATAAAATCTTTTTTGGTCGATTTTGTCAAAACTGAGCTAAAAGTTTTTATTGTTAGTCTAATGAGCACAGGTGTTACTGAATATGCATGAGCTGTAGCCTAGCAACCGACGTCATTTCCTGTGTTGTAAAATTCGACAGCACTTTGCTCTAAAAAGTTTCGTAATTTGTTGGTGTCCTGTGAATATATTTGGAAGTGTGTTTATAAAATATAGAAGTCTGTAATAATGTTATATTCCAATCGAAGTGATTATAATATATTTAATTCGATTATATACTGATTAGTAATCATGAAATATATAATATTATTATTAATGCAATTACGACAAAGGAAGTACAGACAATGATGTATTATAAATTACACTACAGTTTAATTTTATTTCTTACATACTCGGAAATGTTACATCAGAACTATATAAACGTAATATAAATAGAATATAAATATTTTAGTTTTATATAATATAATATAATATAATACATATAATGCTTAGGCCTAATTATATTTAAGTATGTAATATCATTCGATAATTACTTGCTCGTTGTATAAGAAACATAATTGGCAAATTTGATTCAATTCCGGCGATCCATTGATATAAATCCTAATAAATATCCGCGCGCGATTATTTGTAGAATTAAGACAACAATTTAATACACATCGTGTTCAAGCTGACAATAATTGTACATCTACTTCGACAGATCTCTAGAATTGACCTGAGACACTGAAATAAAAAAGATTGAACTAGTGAGAAATACATTCAAACTATTTTCATTTTGGCATCTATGTTAAGTTAGGCCTAATTAAGTATAAATCGCATTAGATTAAAACACTTTTTGGAAACTTTATGACATTCATACTTTCATAAGGTATAGGAATAGAAATTAAGAAAATAAAATTGATTGTTTGATTGATTTAATACATTATGTAAAGTATACATGTTAATAAAGCGTTATTTTAATATGAGTGGGTGAGTACGCTCCTCAACATCCCACCCCAAATCGAAAAATGTCCAAATTTGAAGACAGTCGAAAATGTACTGAATACACATTTTTTTTTTTGTAATAAAACTTAAAAGCGAATATTAAATTTTAAGATTTTAACCAATACTCTATCGGACCCCTGTTTCGTCCTTTAATAACAAAGCTGGGGTCCAACTTGCTTTTCCCCTTCACTGCATCTGGAGTTTTAGGTGAACCCTCCCCATTTGGTATGATCATTACATCTTATGTTCCTATCTGAGATTATTATTTTGTGTGTGTATATATATATATATATATATATATATATATATATATATATATATATACACGGTATATATACGGTGTATAGCTGTCTCTTATACACATCTAGATGTGTATAAGAGACAGGTGTTATCAATTGCAGATTTTTATTTGGGAATGGGGAACCTTCCTTCATTTTGACTATCAGATTGCTAATTACATCAGCGGAGGTTGTACATTGTATATTGTTCATTCAGTATTCACTGACCTGGGAAACCTCTGCACAGAGAATGTTATGTGGATAGACCCTTTCTACTAACCCCACTCATTGGATACTGTTGCTAAGTTCACAACGTGACAGCATAAAATGCACACAGCCACTAGTGCTTGTGGAACAACACCTGTTTGTGAGAAAGGTGCATATTCCATTGTAGTGGCGTAGCTAGGGGCAGTGCAGCCAGTGCAAAACACTGGGGCCCAAGGCTATTAGGAGCCCATTCATAAACAGATCTAAAAATAGTATTTCCGGCCATCTAGAGATGCTGTAATCACAAATTTTCTTACCTCAGGCCCAACCATG